AGAGGTATCACATTCAAGAAGATAAAAAATTTATGTGTGAAGGCGTAGCCTTAAGGAGATTTTTCATAGAGCATGCATTACATTCAAGAAGGTAAAAAATTTATGTGTGGAAGCGCATATGTGCAGATTCAGTTCATAAGAGTATTTATTCTGGTTGACTCTGATTGAAAATTACTATAAAAGGAAATAAAATGAGTTCACACATTTAAAGAAGTATTTGAAGGCTTGCATTTGGGGATATTTTTCATAGATCGTGCATTTAGAGAGACATTACATTCAAGAAAGCAAAAAATTTGTATGTGTGGAGACATGCGTTTAAGGAAACTTTTCATAGAGAGTGCATTTAGAATGGTAGTACATTCAAGGAGATAAAAAATTTATATGTGTGGAGGCGTAGATTTTTCATAGAGGGTGCATTTAGAAAGGTATTACAGTTAAGAAGGTAGCAATTTATGTGTGTAGAGGAATGCATTTAATAAAGATTTCATAGAGTGTGCATTTAGAGATATTATATTCAAAGAGGTAGAAATTTATATGTGTGTAGGCATGCATTTAGGAAGGATTTTCATAGAGCGTTCATTTAGGGAGTTGCGCTTAGGGGAGTTTGGTTGTATATTTAAATACACGCATTTTGGAGTGTAAAAATTACGCTCTTCTCTTTTCTTTTCCAGTTCGATTTAATATCTCTTAACTCTTAATTATAAAAAAAAAAAACTCTTTATCAAAATGTTGTCAAAATATTGTTTGATCTTTATTATCACTTTGGTTCTTATCGCCAATATTATTAACATTGCATATGCGCAAACATGTAAAGGTATGTTTTATATTTATATTATTTACCGTCTCTTTTTATTAACAGTATCAGGGTCAGATCATTCCAGACAACAAAAATAAAAAATATCAACTAAACCCATAACAACAATCCTAATCTTAATGCTACTTTGATAATAAATACTTAAGAAAATTTGAATTGTCTAAAATTCGAATAGTAAATTGCTTGATTTCTGAAATAAAGCAATTTTATTGAATCCGCATATTCGAATTTTATATATCACTTTACTCTGATGCTGTTGATTTTTGTTAACTGAGCCTAAGCTCACTATATATTATAAATAATAATTGTTTGTCTCTCATTCCTGTGTACCTATACTATGAAGAACAATATATGGGTATGTCTTTCCCATTTACAAGCACTTATGCAGCCTTCCCGAGTATCGGTCGGCTATTACAAATCTTATTATTTTATTAATATCATTGGCAGTCATCCCGACTGGCCAAATATACTCTGCGACTGTCGTTCAAACAGATCACAAATCTAAAAATCCCATTAAATATTCTTCTGCCTACCAATTCTATTTAGCTACCGTCTTGGCAGACCAGACAACTACAACATCCCAGCATTAACAGGTAGGGTGAGAGGGGTCGAATTAACCAGAACGAAAGTCAGGTTCGCAGAAAAGACAAAGTTACTAATTCTTTTTCTTACAAGCTTAACTAATATACTACTTTCCAATTACTTCATAATACCCTAATTACCTCATACTAACTCAATTACCTCATACTTACTCAATTACCTCATTCTTACTACAACTAACCTCATAGATCAAACTCTAATTAATGATCTAATTATTAATTACTCAAATTACCACATACTTTCGTTCAATTAATCGACACTCGATAATCGCTAATCAATCGAACATGTGATCATAACCGGGCCTATCACATGTTCGATCATTGTACGTGATTCGAGACAAAAGCTGCCTCAATACTCATGTATCAAGCAGCTATTTTGTTTGTCTCTCATTCCTGCGTACCTATACTATGAAGAACAATATACGGGTTCTTCCAGAGTATCGTAAGGAAAAAATTCGAACATTCATTAAATTGTATTGCAAATGCATTTTCTACCTCTTACAGCAAACAATTCCAAAATACTATACCTATTGTAATGCTAAAAACCCATCAATGTAGATGCTCACAATTCTGCCATTCCTACTGATCTTATATATAGTCATACAGCATTCGAAACCCAACCACCAATTGTTTGAATTTGTTCCAACGACATCTCTCCTTTCATAGCTGCCATGGCACCACCAATCCTTAAACTATGCGCTGTAAACCTCCCTTTCACATTAGCATGCTCTGCAAAGCGTTTAATCACTGCAGAAATTGCTGATACCATTATTTTATTCCCCTTGTTAGAAAGAAAAAATGGCGCTTCATCTTTCGTTACAGGTCTGATTCTCAAATACTCCACTATTCTCTTAGCCGGGCAATACTTGCTACTAGACATCTCAATTGGCACAAATTTCCCTTTTGCTAGTTGGTCATTCTTTGACTTATTAATCCTAACCCACAATAAACCATTCCTAAACTCCACATCTTTTTTCCTCAATTCACAAAGCTCACTTGGCCACCTTATCATTCTCAAACCCAAGGCTATTAAGGCCAAATCTCGTGACCACATCTCAAAATTAATACCATTAGGAGAAAAATCCAAATATGTTTTAACAACATCCACTGGCAAAGGGTCTCTCGGCCACTTCGCCTCAGCCTCTTTTAACATAGCTCTCTTAATACTGTTCATGACCATCTGTATTCTACTGGTCTTCATAGGATCATGCAACCCCTTCCACTTATGCACTCTAGCAATTGCTGCCAAGCATATTTGCATATCCATACTATGTCCCGACATCTCCAACCAGGCCAAGAATGATGCTAATGTCATATCCATTGCAGGACATGCCTCTCGCTTTATCTGTTCCGTGAATCTACAAAACAATTTCCATGCCATACTCAACCTTCTCCTATATACTTCACTAACTGAATTCTCCACTAAATCCTCTACACGCATTAACAATTGCTTGACCAATCTATCTGAATCACCCTCAGCCTCCAATGCTTGTTGTTGCATAGCTTCATATGTTCTGATGGGCCTGGTTGTATATTCTCTGTGGTGGTAACAAGTCCATCTCCTCTTTTTCCGTCTGTACAACTATTGGCCACCACAGTGCTGCAACCTAAACTGGAACGATAATCACTATCACTGCCTCGCACTCCCTTGCATGAATCAGGGAATGATGTATTAACCCAAATGGTGGGCATACATAATTTACACAACCCTTCCAGTCCTGTGTGAAGCAATCCACTGCTTCTGTTTCAAAACAAAGATGCAGGCTGTTGAATCTCTTTATCTTCGAATTTATATGACTTGCAAACCTGTCCATATCGAAAACTCCCCATCATTCCTGCAACCGATCCACTAACTTCTTTTTTACTTCCCAATCTCTAAAATCCACTATCTGCAAAAAAACATCTGCCAGGTTCTCCTCGCTTGCAACCCACCTCGTAAGGTAGATTTCTATATCCAACTCTACACACAATTTCCAAATTTGTCTTGCAATCTCCTTTTGCCACCACGATGACCCTCCGTTCATCACCATTCTTAACGCCACCTTGTTGTCTATCACCAATGTGACCCATAACTCTCTTAACTAGGTACCAAATGCTTCAAATACCCGAAGAACTGCAATTGACTCAAGCTGCACAATTATGTTCGACGTCAACCTTCTTGACCAATTCCTTGCTGCAACTCTTCTCTGATAAACTCCACACCAACCTACTATCAACACATCCACAAACACCGTCTTTACCCTTGATGGTTTCCACCCTGAACGCCCATTTTAAGCTTTTAGATTCTCCACTAACTACCAAATATTCTCGATTGCCTGTGGAGACAATGCCATGTCTGTGTTCCAATCATCCCAACAACAGTTCCTTGCATCTATCAACTAATAAAACTCAAGACATTTGACCTGAGCAAGGGAAAAAACTCTCACCAAACTCTGAATTCTCTCTGCTACTGACACTAGTTTTCATACCAATACCATTGAACTCCCCAACAATGTTTTCAACTGCAAAACCATAGCAGTAATTTTTTCATCTGGCACAATTATCAACCCTCCTGTCGTATCTACTATTAGCTGCAATACTTTGGCTTCTGCACTGGATCCCAATCCCCTTTCTCTTTTGCTCGAATCCAGCTGCAACCCTTCAAATTCCTCTCTATGACCGACTGCCATTGCTCTAGAAGAACTTCTCTTGATGGATGAGCCACCCATACATCGTCCAGGTAGTTGCTACAGAAAATTCTTCTTGCTCTCCAACTTCCAATCATTGCCTTCATGATCTATGAAAAAATCCATGGAGAGTGACTCAACCCAAGAGCAAGACCTTATAATGAAACCATATTTCATTCATGCAAAACTCCAGAAAACGTTGTGCCAGATCATCCATCAGAATATGGTAATAAACATCCTTCAGATCAAACATTATCACCTACCAATTTTTGTCCACTGTTCTCAACAACATCCCCAAGCCTTCAAACTTGAATGTCTTCTTGGGTAACGTTCTGTTCAACCTTCTTAGATCTATCACCAAACGAAGCCTCTTCGGTTCCTGCTTGGACACCACAAACACAGAACTTACTTCTAGAAGAACCTCCGGTCTTGAACTTCTTTGCACAACCAATTCTATCACCCCTGCCTTTCTTAATCTTTCCAGTTCCTTCTTTACCCATTCTTTTTTCTCTAACAAAAATGCCCATTGTTTTGGCACCTTCTGTGACATAAGACTTATGACCCCTCTTAGAAACAGCAGAATTTGTCCTTCTAACTAATCTACTACCAAAGGAGCTGGCTTTATAGCTTCCTTCCAGTACCTGACTGCCACCTCTGAATGAAGCCTTCCTGCCACATGTTGCTCTTCACAATCTAACATGATACCCTTCCCCATCACTGCTGAACTCTTCACCCGAGCTTTGTCAACTCCTTTTCTGTTTTGGGATATCACCTCGAAAGGGCACATTCAAATGCTTCTGCGAGCCACAATCATTAGCATAATGCCCTTTCCCTTCACACAAATAACACATAATGTCTTTCCCTACATCCATTCTCCTTTCTACACCTAAACTCCTACCCGCTGTTGCTGATGAAAACCTGCTAGACTGCTTCAGAAACGCATCCTGTGAAAAGACCCCCTGCTCTGAATGCTGCCCCGCAAAGAACAGATTCAAACCACTGACTTCTACAGCTGGAGCTGTTGTTACCAACCCTTGTTGGTTGGACACCTGTTGCCAGGTCAGTAAAAACGACGGATGAGCTTGAATGAATACAGGTGCCACAGGATGACCCTGATGTATACTGGGAATAAACCCCTGCATATTGCCCACTTGTCCCTCAAATTTTTGATTCTTGTCATGCGAAACTTTCAATTTCTTATTCTTAGAAAATGTCTGAGTTGCTAATCTGGCCCTCTCTCTCTTTCCTCCAAAAATTTGCAACATAGGGTCAACTGAATCATTAGACGCCATTTTCGCAGCAACACCCCAACCATCCTCATCTGCCACTCTAACCACATAGGCTCTTTCTAACGCAACCTGCCTTGCCAAAAGTAAAAAATCCATCTCACCCGTACTCAAGGCTTTGTCCATCAACATCCCTGCCTTGCACCATTCGTTGAACTCCCACTGATTCCTGGCCTTAGACAAGTCCACTTCTTCTATAACCCCATCTCATCAGTATCCCAGTCTACTAAACCCTTCTCTTTCTCCACAGGGACACACCAAAACTGATGTAGGCCTTGTGCACCTGCTTCCAAACTATTCGTCTCATGTTTTTCAGTACTAGACCCAGCTCCTGGGAAAAGACCACTCTCATGCAAACGGGAACCAGCCTCATCTGAATTCATATTATCCAAATTCACAACCTTGCCTTTACCAAACAAACCGCTACACGACTCCTCCTTACCTTTGCACTTACTAACCAATCTACTTACTAAATCCTGCTTCAAACCTACGTCTGAAACACCCATCCCTTGGCACAAAAACCTTAACATTTCAAGGGATAAACAGCCAAAATTTGCTTCGAAATTGACTTGGCCACGTGACGGTTCACTATCATTATTCGACTGTACCATAATATCCTCCTCAACAACTGTACCTTTACTCTTCTCTAAGTTATTTGCCATCTCTTTTAAGGAAATTAATAATAAATTTACTAGTGCTCGAATTAACCAGAACGAAAGTCGGGTTCGCAGAAAAGACAAAGTTACTAATTCTTATTCTCACAAGCTTAACTAATATACTACTTTCCAATTACCTCATAATACCCTAATTACCTCATACTAACTCAATTACCTCATACTTACTCAATTACCTCATTCTTACTACAACTAACCTTATAGATCAAACTCTAATCAATGATCTAATTATTAATTACTCAAATTACCACATACTTTCGTTCAATTAATCGACACTCGATAATCGCTAATCGATCGAACATGTGATCGTAACCGGGCCTATCACATGTTCGATCGTTGTACGTGATTCGAGACAAAAGCTGCCTCGATACTCACGTATCGAGCAGCTATTTTCATATTTAAATTTTTCTAATTGATTATATATAAATTAAATTATTAGCGAGTGAGTATAAGATATTATTGAAAATTTTTATAATAACCTATAATTAAACCTTTTCTAATCAATTCTGTATGAATTTAATTATTAGTGGGTGGTAAGTATAAAATTAATTTACAGATTTTATCATTAAAAAGGTTTATAATAATTTATTTATAATCAAATAAACCATTTCTAATTAATTATTATTAGATTGTGAGTATAAAATATATAAATTTTATCATCGAAACCTTATAATAATCCATAATTAAATAAAAATTTTCCAATTAATTATTATTAGCCTGTGAGTATAAAATTAATTCGTAAATTTTATCGAAAAATTTTATCATTAAATAAAATTTTCTAATTATTTTATGGTAAATTATTAGGCGGTAAGTTTAAAAATACTTTGCAAATTTTGTATTTTATAATAATCTATAATTAAATAAAACTTTTCTAATAAATTATAAAATATCAGGACGTAAGTAATGATAAAATAATTTATAAACTTTATTATAATATATAATTAAATCAAACTTTTCTAATAAATTTTATTAGAGGGTGAGTAAATATAAAATTAATTTATAAAATTTTTTATAATATAAATAAATGAAGCTTAGCTAATAGACTATATAAATAAAATATTAGATGGTGAGTAAATATAAGATTAATTTAAAAGCATTATAATTTAAATATTCGTAATAATTTATAATTAACTAAAATTTCAATTAATTATATATGAATTAAATTATAGGCGAATGTAAGTATAAAATTAATTTATAAATTTATAAAACTTTTATTTATACAAACGAACCTTTTCTTATTGATTAAATTTGACCAAATTTTTAGGCTGTGAGTATACAATTAATTTACAAAGTTTTTATTAAAAATTTTTGTAATAATGTACAATTAAATGCAACTTTTCTAATCAATTATATATAAATAAAGGCAAAGGACATTGTGAGTAGAGAATAAATTTCTAAACCTTTCATTAAAAATATTTACCGTATAGCCACGAAATAATGCATCTTTGCGTGATATTTTGAGATGCCATGTGTACTATAGGATCAAAATTTTGAACCTAACGTACTATGCATATATCAAATTCTGATATATGTTATATAAAATGAACGTAATTTTGGAATGCACATAGGCATTATTTTAAACAAAAATGTCATCTTTTAAGAGTGCAGTTTTTGAAATAGGGTTAATGAGTGTTATTTCGTGATTTTACGGTATAATAGTTTATAAATAATATTTGCAATTAATAATATATGATCAATTATTAGGCAGTAAGCATAAAATAAATCTATGAATTTTACTAGAAAACTTTATAAGAATAATAACTAAATAATTTTTCTAACCAATTACACATAAACCAAATTATTAGTCTGTGAGTATAAAATTAATACATAATTTGACAAAATGTATAATTTAATAATTTTTTTAATTAATTATATATAAATTAACTATTAGTCCGTGAGTATAAAATTAATATATAAATTTTGTTATTGAAAATTTTTATAACAATCTATAATTAAATTTGTTTAATCAATTAAATTTAGAAAACTGTAAGTATAATATTAATTTATAAATTTTGTTATTAATAATTTTTATAACAATCTATAATTAACCAATTTTTTTGATAAATTATATATAAATTAAAATTATCAGCCCGTCGTAAGTATAAATTAAGTTATAAATTTTGTTATTAAAAATTTTTATAGCAATCTAAAATTATATAAAATTTTTAATTTAATTAGTCGGCAGTGAGTATAAAATTAATTTGTAAAAATTTTATTATTCTTATTAAAAATTTTAAACCTTTTAACTAATTATATATAAATAAATAATTAGCGTGTAAGTATAAATTTAATTTATAGGCTTTATTACTCAAATTTTTATTATACTTTAATTAAATAATATTTTGCCATTATTCTTGTGAATTATTAGGCCGTAAGTATCAAAATTTATAATCTATAAATGAAATACTTTTAATTAATTATATATAATTTAAATTATTAGAACGTGAGTATTAAATTTACGAATTTTACTATTAAAATTATATAATAATTTACAATTAAAAAATACTTAATTAATTACATATTAATTAAATTATTAGCTTGTGAGTATAAAATTTACAAATTTTATTATTGAATATTTATACGTAATAATTTATAATTAAATCAAAAACTCAACCTTTTAATTAACTGTATACAGTATAATGAAATCGCTGTAAGTATAAATTTTACACAACTTTTTATTAAAATTTTTATAATATTTATAGCTAAAATTATTTAACTAATTATATATAGCTGTCTAAAGGTAAATACAAAATTAATTTGTATATAAAATATTAAAATTTTAATAATAATAATAATTAAACTCTTCAAACTAATTATATGTAGTATAAATAGAGTCTTTATTGTTTCTTTGACTTTATTTCTTCGAATATCACTTTTTGACAACAATTTTCTGATATGCGGATTTATTTTACTTAAATCACTTCTTGATATTTAAATTTCTTCAATATATATTTTTAAATGCTTGTAGTTTCTTCCATACAAGTTAATATAATAGTTGCTTTATTTTATTAATGTGATATTTTAAATAATACTTTATATTCCTTTAATATGCATTTTTTAAATACTTGTATTTATCTGTAGCCCTTTAATGCAAGTTAAAATAATAATTGTTTTATTTTATTAATGTGATATTAAATAATACTTTATATTATTTCTTCAATATGCGTATTTTTTAAATACTTGTAGTTCCTTTTATACAATTTGAGATAATAGCTGCCTTATTTTATTAATTAAATATCATTTAAAAACAAGTACTTGGCTAAATAATCAAAAGTTTATTGGAATTTATTTGAAGTTATTTTATATAGAATAAGCATTACTAATAAAAATATATTTATAATCTTATATATATAATTAAATTATTAAATTGCTTTAAAATATACATATTGCAAAAATTATATATTTATTGTATCTAAAATTAAGGATAGGGTATATTTAATTTAAGAATTAAAGATACAGATCAAAATTGTAAAATTACAAATTTTTAGTATAAGTTACCAACCCGTAGGCACTTACCAACCATTTATATTTAATTGACTATCTACCATCCCAAAATGTTCCGATATTATCCTGTTCTTTCTTTGACTTAACACCAACCATAATTCCAATGTGATTCTGTAACTTACCCAAAGACCTAGGTAACTTTAATTTTTTCAGTAACTTACTATTGGGTAAGTTACTATTTACAACCCTAATAAAGATACAAATTTTAGTTAACACAGCATAAGATTTTTTGCAAGATTACTCCAATTGATCAACATCGACCTGCATTTAAACTGATTTGGTGTTAGGAGTGGGAGGAGGGATTTGGGCAAAATCTATACTAAAATTATGAGTAGAATCTTTTTTTTTTTTAAAGCACCAAGTACAGTTTCATAGCCAAAATGTTGAAATAAAAAGTGAGTTTCTTGATTTTGTCAATTAACCTGTCACTTATTTCGGGCATGCAAGGTTTTTTGAGGTTCTAGAAATTTTAGTTGAAAAATCTAGCGACCATTAATGTTTATTATCTATAATACATTTTAATACATTAAATAATTATTCATATACATTAGTGACCTGAAAGAAAAATATGTAAAAATGCATTTTTAGAATTTTCTAACTTAAATATCTAGTAAAAATCGAAATAAAATTTTTATAATGCCATACAATTTTCTATCATTATATAACAAATTAAGGGACTAATAATTATACAAAAAGAAAATATTTCATGCGAGTAACTAAGATGAAGCTAGCTAATGTGAGGTCATATAGTATTTAGAGTTTGCCAATGATTAATAATCATAAAAAACTGACCACATATTGGAACAATCTCATGTTGATTCATTTCTTATGTCCTTTATTTTTTTACGCCAAAAAAAAACCTTTTGAAGATTGTATAGTAATTTCATTTTCGAGTGAAACTATGCAATTCGATTGATTAACTTTTTTTGAGAAAAGTTTCGTTATTTGCAATGTCTAAAACTGTAAATCAATATAAAAAAAATATTCATAGCATTGTGTACTACAAACATAGAGATATTAGATAGAGTTATTGACTTAGTGAGATGAAAGGAGATGCACTGATCTTCTCAAAACTTTTTCGGCTATTGACAACTTAAAACGGCGAGTCAGTCACTTCACAATCGGGTACGTTGTGTAATCTACGAATAGGCTAAGTCAAAATGGGCGTGTTAGATTTGGCGAGTGGGGAATTTATGATCATAGGTATTATGATGTAGCGAAAGCAGGGAATTATTAAGAGGCAAATTTTATTATAATCACGAACAATGTCTGTCTTTTCTTCGTAGGGCTCGAAGCCTTTATTATATATTTCTTTTACATAGAGCACATTATACACTCTATTCATGATATATCACTTATATTACTTATAATGTCTATACTAATTAAAATGTTTATACTGATTATTATAATTATATCCTTTTCTCACGGATTCCCATCATAACGCTGATATCCCTTACAGCACTGATACAGTGAATATCGCATTT